CCAGGTTGAAAAAAAAAAGGTGAGTATAACCATGCATAAATACATTTGTTCTATGTATCAGCCTTCCTAAACAGTTTACAAATCTGTCCTTAAAACGTTTTGTTCGGTGGCCAAAATGAGAGGCACATAAGCATCAGTGATTTTTCCCGTTTGTTTTCGTTGTGTTGAAGAACTCAGTGAAAGGTACAATTTCTTTGCAGTGTTCGTGTTCGTTATATGACTAGGCTTTAGATAAATTGTGATAATGTTTGGGCTCTGTATTTGATTTCTACATTTCAGATATGAGGTTATGCACATGCATAGCTTATGAGAAGAGCCAGGCTGACAGCAGAGGGATTGATCTCCTTTGTGGAGCACATACAGCATGTTGCCTTGTTACCTTGTCAATGTGCTTGAGTCTCAACACGCTCTCAACATTCAGAGTTCCAGTTTGTTTCCCACATCCTCCTCTCCTTAGAGTCTGGGCAGGGTAAGGCAGTGTGGGTTCCAGTGAGTTCTAGCTGATGATTGAGGGGAGAAACCTGCAAAATAAGCAATGTAACTTGTTCATGTAGACAAATAAAATTTTGTCTTGGGAACTTGCAAATAAACCTCCCTCATTTTCAGCTTCCTTGAAAAATGCAGTGAAATCAGACTTTATTGGGAGAAATGACACATTATGGTGCACATTTCAGGGTCTTATATTAAAATCTATTTTTTTAAAGAAGAAAATTAAATGCTATTCCAGTTTTCTTGTTCCTGCTGACCCTTTAGGACTGTACTGAGCTTCTGCCACCTACCAGCATGCTCGCCAGGCAGTCTGTACAAATATTATTATTACTTAAATAGAGTCTGAATCATTACCTTGTGTTTTCACTTTGTAGTGAAGTGATTTAAATATAGTTTTCTTATGTTGGGATCCTTTGACAAATGCATAAATAGTTAGCGCATTGTTAGCAACAGTGAAAAGGAAATGGATGCCTGGCAGGAGGAAGGGCAAATAATTTTCTCATGCTTGCTGTGCTCTTTCTGTAGTGTAAATCAACTCTTCTCCTCTGAAAGTAAAAACTTATTCCAAGATGTCAACAAAAGTAAAGTAATTAGGAAAGGAAATGTAATTCCTCCCTGCTGCTCCTCCCTCGCACACATTAGTAAAAGCTATTTAAAGATACAACCTGGCGTGGACTAATTGGGGATGAGTCACTTGGGACCTGATCCTGGAAATGCTTACTCAAACGAGTAGCCCTTTGATTGTTCGCCTGGGTCATTGCTGAGTGCATGTGCCTGCCTCAGGATCAGGGAGGAGAAGGGTCAGTCCTGCAGGGTCCTGAGCAGACCTCTCCAGAACTGAAAGGCTCCTGAACCAGCCAGCTGGCCCCAGGGGGAAGATGCCTGTGCTTAGAGTTAACTGTTTTATTGGATCCCAGCCAGTTCAGTCAGTGTCTCCCAGGACTAAACCCTGAGTGCTTAACTTTAAATAGAATAGGAATATTATGAGGCTACTTTGATTAATTAATCTTATTTGGAAAAAAAAGAACAACTAGAAAACCGAAACACACCACCAAACTTTCCCACATTTGCTTATGCCTCTGGTTCATGTCTGTCATAAAATTAACTACTGTAATACGCTTTTTCCACAATTTAGTTCTCAAATACTTTTCTGCAAAGGAAGCTGTAAAGCTCAAAGGTGTATTTTTTTCTTAGTGTTAGCAATTAATATGCCACTAGTCTTTGCATAAATAAGTTGTCTATTTTAAAGCAACTCAAATGGGCTATTTCATTTTATATGACTGTTAATTAAGATGTTGATTAGCCCTGCTATTGAAGCATTGAAACCCTTTCTAAAAGAAATGGCCACTGTTTCAATTTTATTTTAATTAGTTGGACTTTGAGGTTATTTACTACAGTGTCAGCTATCAAAGTAAAGCTATTTAATTTGATGTTCAGTCCAAGGCAGGTAGCGCACAGAATTCCACATTTGCCTGTAACCACTGCCATTAACAGCAGTATGATTTAAGGTCATTTAAGAGTCATCAACCTCACAGATGGTAAAATGCAAAGTATCTAAAAGGGAAAATAACAATTGTTGTCTTGTCAAATAAAATCCGAACATTGTATTTTTTGTGAACACCCACTAGCTTCCAGCAATTTTATACAGAATGTGTTTCCCTTTGGGCGGAGAGTGTTAGGTCTTCCCTTTTATGTATCCTTCCATTGAGACATGCTAAGCCCCTCGGGAGGGAAACCCACCCAGATATTTGTGATTTTAAAACTTCATTTGCGTCACTTGCAACAGAGATGGATCATTATTCTGGGATAAAATCACATCCTGCACAGTGAAAATAACAGGCAGCATTTGACCTGAAAAGGGAAAGAGAAAAAAAAAAAAACCCACAACAACTTTAAAGTGTTAAAAGAAACAGACAGTGTTAAAGCTGCTTCAGGAAACAAATTCTCCCTGTAATGCAGTGTAATTATGATCTTTTCTAAGCTAACTATAGTACCCTAGAGATTACTATAAGTAACTTATAATAGAATTTTTATTAGTGGTAGTAATTTTTTATGATAATTAGTGTAATCTGCAGCCAATAAAATCAGAAGATATATAGTTATCTCTTTTACACCAGAAAACTATTCTTCAGACAGCTGAAACATTAAGAAAGAAAAATGTATTATTTTATGATCGTTATATACCTTTATGTTCTGATTATTTAGTATTTTTTTTTATTGGCTCTTTCCATTTAATGGTGAAAAATGTGAGGCATACTCAAGAGCCAGTATAAAGCAGGCAGTTTGGGGTAAGCATCTGACATTTAGTTTTCTTGGCAATCTTTATTCTATCTGATCTGAAACCTCATCCTTTGTGGAAGTTAAGGAGTTTTAGGTTTTCCTCCTAGATGATGGGTTACTCTTGCATCAACCTTGTGCTCACAGTGAGATTGCCTTTTGTTTTTTGAATGGAGGGAGAGCCATAATGGTTGAAAAAAGGTATTTTGACAGTAACGCTGTCCTTGGCTGTGTCATGTACTCTGTGTATCTTTGGGACTCTCTTGCTTTGCTGCACAAGAAGCTCTTGCAGCACAACCCTTCTCAAAAGCTCTGAAACCAACGACAGGAACACACGTGCAAAATTACTCTTTAATAACGGAGTTGTGATCCCACATAGTAGGACTGCTTGATGAGAAGTGGCTGGACTTGGTCCTCCTCAGATTTGGAGAGGCATTTTGGCCAAATGGATCAGCTACTACTGCTAAGGCATTGGTTAGGTCCCTTATAATGACATTCTCAGCACCTTTTCTGTGGAAATATGGTAGCTGGCTGACTGTTAAATGTCCAAGAAACCCTCGCTTTGTGATGAAAATGGCAGAGTCTTGCCTTGTCTCTGTTTTCCCTTGTTGGTCTTTGGCAGAGGTAGCACTGGGCAGACCTTTGGCCTTCAGGTAGACTCAAGTCCTGCTCAGCCTGAAAGCATGTAAAAATGACATCCTGACGGTGGAGCTTCTGACGGTGGATAAAGCAGCAAGTTTCCTTGCTGATTCTGCTGGATTCCTGTGTGCCAGCACTTAGAGACTGTTGACCGTGAGGTTTCTCTGACACTCTTGTGAACCCTCACAGGGACAGATGGATTTGCTCTTGAATGGCTCCATTCTTTTATCTTTGTGAATAGAGCGGGCAATGGTTAATTTGCCCTGACTGCTGTCATGCACCACAGGCTTCTGCTTTGTCACCCCTCCTGCTGACCATGGCCTCAAGGCCAGGAGGTCTCATATTCTGAAAACTTGTGTACTTACTGTATGTGTCCAGCTTGTCTTTTGGGAGGAGGGGTATCGCAGCTGAGCGCAGATGGTGAGCTTCCCCTTGCTGTGCTTCAACCTGAGACTTAAATAAGAGGTCTTCAGCAAGTTAACTTGATAGAAGCAAATGATGGGAGACAGAGAAAAGAAATTCCTGTCCCCTCTGCACTGAGGTATCTTACCAAAAGCCATGTCAGCCAAACAAACCCTTGGGGTTTACAACGTTTTGAACTCATATATGGGTAATTTTAAAATTATACATGGTTTTGTTAACTTCTGAGTTGAATCGCTGAAATGCAGTGTACCTAAGGCAATGGATGAAGAATATCTGGAAACTTGGATCACAAAGCTTATTTCTCACTTGGTCTCTTCAGGGTATGCCTTACTTGCAGGCTGCTCTCAAAGTTCTCAAACTGTGCAACAGCTGCCTGTGTATTTCCAGGTACTAATAAAAATGAAGTTTTCAGCGATGAGCCCTAATGATACAGCCTTCCTCATTCATTCTTCATCACACCTCTGCAGATTGGATCAGCTACTATTCTTCATTTATTATTTGTTATTAGTTAAAGGTCTCTCTTCTTTTACTGCCCTCAAAACTCTGTATGTTCTTCCTCCAGCTTGCCAACCTTTGAGTTATGTACCAGAGCTGTTTTCTGGGACTAATTTCTAAGAGTTGACAGCAGTGAAGGATTTTAGGCAAAAAGTTTTTAATTTTCAGTTTTAGAGTCTGTGAATACCTTATTAGCAGATGCTGGATTATGTGGTAATTTGTTGAGAGGTTAGAACAGGTGCATAGCACACTCACAGATAAATAAAGCTTAAATTGTAATTTCCACTACAGACAGATCAATCTGTGTAATTTAAGTGACTGAACTTTTATAGTTGGTGTGTGAGGAAAATACCTTTTATTTAGAATAGCAGCAGTAAATTGATAGTGTAATTTGTGCTGTGAAAATTGGCCATTGTATTTAATTGTATATAAAAAACACAGTCTTTTTGAACAGCACCCACAAGTTGTGCCCTAAAAAATAAATTTTTTCTTTTTTTAAAAAAATCCAAACATTCATATCTTTGAAGATGCTCCTCCTTGTGACTGGTATTGAACTTCAGGGTTGTTTTCCTTGCTTTTCCAGGATTTTGGCATGTGCCATAACACCGCATGTGGTAAAGGTTTGGCTGAAAAGTTACTTATTTCTAAATTAATATCTTCTTTTTTTTTTTCCATTTAGATTGTATATCCTGTGCCTCATGGTCTTCATGTCTTCATGCATTCTAGCATCAGGTAGGTAACAAATCACACTGCTTACCTCTTGAGAGGAATATCAGATGAATTCACTGTGCTATGTACAACACTACCTAGAAGCCACAAGAGAGAAACAGTAGTAGGTTGGCAGCAGAGGGAGATTCTTCAAAGAAAAATTATACTAAAAAGATGTAAGATTAGTGACATCATGATCAAGAATGTGAACCACCTATCCCTACTGGAAATTCATTGGTAAGCAGATCCTGAGGAGAAGACAAAATCAGCAGCCGAAAGCAAGGAGTCTGTGGCCCCAGCTGAGAAATCCAGGTCACATCTGACACCCATTGAAATGGAGTGGACGTGAGATTGGATTCTTAATCACCAGAAAAATAGTTTAATTTGATGTGTCATCTCAAGGGAAGGGGAAAAAAACGTCTGAGATAAAAACTGAGACAAATGACTCTCTCTTCTTTTAAGGTAATGCCAAATAATAATAATGACCAGTCTTCGCGAGCGAATGCCAAATAGAGGAGAAGCTCCCCTTGTGCTGCACTGGAGTCCAACAGGTAACACCAGTTGCCTTGGCCTCATTAGTAAACACCTGATTTTATAGAGTTAAGCGCAACCAGAATCTACTAGATGTTTTCTGAAAAAGAAAATTGCACGAGTAAAGTGATTTCTTTTTCACTTGATTGTCAATAATGTTTTTATTTGCCAGCTATAGAAATGCTCAAAAATATATTTCTGCAAAGTGAAATATTTTCAATTTGATTTTTCCCCCTCCTCTCTTCCCCTTTCCCATTCTCCACCTTTGGAACAGGCAGAAGACAAAACACAATTTTTCTTGTTAGGATTTCTCACTTTTGTTCAGCAAGAACAAACACTTTTTCCATCTCCCCTACAATACCACTCAAAGCATTAATGGAATATTTTTGCAGTGGAGCTCTATTCAGAACAAAAAATGTCAAGGAATTCTAAAAATAAGAGTGCAGTTACTATTTTTGATGTTAGAAACTGGGCTAATTTGGCAAATAGGATGCAGTATAAGCTTATGGTTTCAGCACAATGGAGAAGTTATCAATAGAATAATGGATGGCAAACAAGAAATCTTGCATGTGTGCTTTTCTCTGGGTGGTTTCCAGATTTCACAGACTGAGTGTAACGCTGTGTTTCTGTCTTGTGGGAGGAAAGACTAGCTCGAGGCCACAGCCAAACTCCTTATGAAAAGAAAAAGGCAGGCTGCTCCCACAATAGGGTGTGAAATACTGACCTTCTAGAATAGCCCTTTAAAGTAGCTTTTGGGTTTTGTTCAGCTGCTGTAAGGAAAGTGTAATTGTGCTGCCCAGTTCTGTTTGAACAAGTGAGTTGTGCACTTCACTGGAGGAATGTATGGAGTGTGTTGAAAGGACAGATAGGGAAGTGTGGCCAGGAATGTGATAGAGTGGATATAAAATGAGTGAAGACAAGTGTCCTCATGCTGGCCGCAGTGGTGACGTGTATTATCTCGACATGTTATCAGGAGATAGATGTTTGCATTCCCATAGGTCAGTGCAAGTTGTCACAGTTTCAACTTCCAGCTTTTTCTTATGGAAATAACATCACGAGGCAAAGAACACAAGAAAAGTCCTCTGCTTGCTTGCACCTTCACATGTGATGTTATGATTCTGAATGCTCTCTAGAGGACTTAGGGTACAGTGTGAAAGCATGACAATTGTTTTTTCAATAGTCCCTTGCTTCTATTTATAGCAACAAAGTTAATTAAAAAGTTTTGTTTCACCCTTTCTTTTCCAGCTCAGTAAATATCTTTGCTAGTGAGACAATTAGAATATTTTGAAGGGGGAGGCAGATATATAGGGAGATTTTTTGTGGTTTTTTTTACCCTTACTTTCATTTTTTGAAAGAATTGGTGAAGTTCTGAGCAGTGAAGTTTTGATGTGTGTGTTGGACGCTGCCTCTCTAGAAAGACATTGCTGTCCTGGAATGGCAAATAGCTGGAAACCTGGCACTCTCCATCCCAGCCCAACCATTTGAAGGTAGTTATTTTTGCAAGACCACTTAACAGGCTTTGTTATCATTCCAGTGTGAAACAAAAACAAACAGCAGAACTTCTCCAAAGGTTTTACAAAATGCAGTTAAGCAGTTACTATTGTTTCTGATCTGCTAATCAGTTATTAGTATTTATTAAAGGGTCCCTTTAGATCTGTTCCTCAGGTCCATAAGAGGCAATAAGAAAAGGAATGCTGGCTTGGAATCTTGATTCCTGTATTTACTTCATGTTATATCTGTTCCAGGGTATGTGAATATACCATCTGATAAGGTGAAACACCCTGTGTATACTAGTAATTAGTCATAATTTCATGTAATTATTATAGCAATTTCTGTAGTAGCTATCATGCGTCCCCCTTATATGAAGCCAAAGTTGTAATTTTTAATTAATACACAATTAGCCAATTGAAGTATGCAACATATTTATTTCTTACCTCAGCTTTTGTTAGCCTGTAAACATAGAGCTCAGGAAAGTGAGGGGCAAACAGCACAACCTTGAACCAAGTGTGCTGAGGGCAGCTTTTCTCTGAGATTTCCCACACACCTGTGTTAAAGTTTGATCAGCACCCATCCTGATTTTTTCAGTCTGGGGTATCTTTTAAGATGGGAACTATTTCTCATGGCAATCTGATCTGCGGGGTTGTTTTGTCATGTGAATGAAGGGAGAATGCAATACATTTATTTTCACTTACAGTGAAGCATGAACTCCAGTCTGAAAATGTAACTGAGGTGGCTGGGGATATCTTGTGGTGGGGTTTCTTGTTTTTAAGTAAGCCTAGTTTATAGAAAAAAAACGTAAAAATTGAGCAAAAGTAAATTGTAAAAAGTACTTAGTAAGTACTTTTTTAAAAGCAAAAAAATTCCAGGACAGGGGAAGCAGCACAGAAATGCTGCCAAAATTAAGTTTGTGGTTTTCTGAATCTCTTAAAGTTGCAGGCTTAGAATTATCCACCTATGGCCTACAAGTTTCACTACAGAAAGTGGCTGTCATTTATTTGTGCATACTGATAGCATCATCTCTTCATGCACTGGCAACTGGGACTTACTTTAATTTCCTTTGATATATTTAGCCTAGAGATTCTTAGATTAAATAAACATAAACAGTCAAAGTGGCTTTAAACTAATTCCCATATAAAACAAGATTTGAAAAATATGCATTGAAAGTAATGTAAGCATTTTGCTTATGCATTTTTCGTTTTAAAAATGTAATAAATCTTTGCAGCTAAAAAGGGATCTGTGGCTGATACTCAGTATGCCAGATGTTTGGGTACTCCAGTAACATTGTTAAATTAAGGATTTATACAGTGAAAGCAGTACAGATGTTTGACAGCCATGCCAACGAACAAACAAGTGAACCCTGAAAAAATGTGGGTTTTTTCAGTTCTCTTATACTCCCAGATTGCTTTTCACATCTCAATATTTATTGAGGTGCAACATAATTTTTCTTGTGGAAAAAATTAGTATTCACCCACACTTCTTTTATCATGATATTTGAAATAATAGAACATCGTTATTTGCTGTGCTTAGAGTGGGAAATAACTATGACAACTCCAATACCATGGCTTGATTAATATTGGATTCTTAATAACAATCTCTACATATAGATTTTTGGTAGCAGGATGAGTCATTTGTGCAGACAGTTGATTCCGGGTGAGCCAGTGACTCCATGGCAACTCTGAGAACAGCATCTGCAGAGAAATGAGCTGGTGTTGTCTCCTCACGTGCAGGTAGGGCCTTGATGCTTTGAAGATCTTTAGTTGAGCTCTCTGTGCTGTTTGTCCAGAACACCATAATGTGCTCCAGGCCAAGTCTGGCATAACCAGGGCCTTAAACACAGCTTCAAAATAACACGAGCAAACCACTTTTGAAAGCTAAACTATGTGGTAAATATACAGATGTGAATTGTCTGCAGAAGCTGGAATCAAGAGGCTGCTTTGCTCTGGCCCACCTGCCACTTTGGGAAGCAGTATCACAAAGGGAACTGCTGGCAGTGAAACTGAGGGGAAGATCCTGTTGAAAGCTCAACGGGAACTTTGCTCAAATGAGGACTGCAGAATTTGGCCCCTATTTCATAAAAATATCTTTCCGCTTCCATGCTGCAGGACAGCAGAGCAAAGCATGACAACAAGAGTATGTTTTACTGTAGAAAGCAGCTAAGAGTAATTCACATCACTCCCTCGTGCATCAGATCCGTTATGGACACACAGGCCTTCTCCGATTCATCAAGATCTTAAAAAGAGCCATCAGAACTATGTGTTCTGGGTGGATATGAAAAAATCATGTGATGTTTGTGTTTTTGTTTGGTCTCTGAGTGGCACATTCCAGTGCTCTCAGCCCTAGTGCCCAACCCTGTCAACATCCTGGGGCGTGCTGTTCATTTAGGGCTGTAAAAGGAGGGGCAGAAAGAAGCTTACTTCAGTGGCCATTTATTTTCTTGAACATAGAGGCAAAAAGTCAGATCTGATCTTCAGCAGCTTATCTTTATGGTTTGCATTTTATTGAACCCTGTTTTGCTAATTCCTCCTGATTCCTCATTGGCCATTAGGCATAATGTGTTCTCTATTGGTGTACTGTTTATTAACGTGCTAATTGGTGGCTATCACAGCAGAAGAATCAGGGGCCAGTCAGTATTTCAGATGCCGGAAATCCTGAAGCAATGGTCCATCACTAACAGCAGTGTGCTAGAAGTATGAATGTTTATGATCTATGCCCATCCTCAGTTTCTGAACCACTCACGCCTGGGTTCAGGACAGGCGAGCTTATGAAGAGCTGTTGTTTGAGTGATGGTGGGTGGGGAAGGTGAATGGTACAAGGTTGTACAAGGCTTGTAGCCGCTTTGAAAGCCATTTCATGACAGGTGGTGCTATGGAGGCTCACTGAGTTTGCTTGTATTTGGCACTCTAAAGCTAGCCAGCACCAGGGTAACAACATGTTCAGCTATTTGTAAACCAAGCAGGGGCCTAAAAAACATTCCACTCACAAGGAAAAAATTGATTTAAAGAGGCTTGGAGTGGAGCTTGAGCATCAATGAACACTGAAGAGCCTTCTTAAACTGACACAATAAATTAGTTCAAAACAGATGACAGCCCTACAGATTACCCACCTCTTAACAAAGGAGGGGCATTCTGGTCCCCTTCACGAAAACATAGATAAAAATTTTGTTCTTCTACTCTAATGAGGCAAGCTCAGATATAAGTCAATAGAGCAATTCATTAACAAATCTAGTGAAATCCCCTGGGTTACCAGTGAGATGACAGTGAAAGTGGATGTGCTGTGAAAACTCTCCTTTGGTAGAGATGTCCATATGCTAAGGGTCAGAGAGCTGAGTGGTTTGCTCTGTTTACTATTCACCATACACATATGGCAGTTAAGGTCACTGTTATCAGACACTTTCTCTGTACACAAAACAAAATTTCCATATGGTCCATGAAAATGGATATGCTTTGCTCCCGTGCAGCTTCCCACGGCTCTCTCTTTGTGCGGCACCGGTTAGAAGTGTAAAAGAAGGGTGCGAGGGGTT